GTGGATGGGTGGGTGGGTGGGTGGATGGATGGATGGATGGGTGGATTGGTGGACGGGCAGATGGGTAAAACTCATGCCTCATGAAGAGTCAGAGGGTAGCATGTTTAAATTGTCAGGTTTATTATGCATCCATGTATCAATACATCCGTCTAATAAACTGCACTTATACCCCTGAAATTTACTTAACCGGGAGTGCTAGTGCATGCCCGTAATCCCAGCTACTCCGAGGCTGAGGCAGGATAATTGCTTGAAGCCAGAAGGCAGAGGTTACAGTGAGCCAAGATCATGCCATTGCACTCCAGCCTGGGAAACAGAGTGAGGATCCATCTCAAAAAATAAAAATTACACCAAAAAAATGAGTTAAATTGAGGGCAGAGGTGTATAATGGTTTGGAATGAAAGTAAACCTTAGCTTTAGTAAACTTTGTTGAAGATGATAAGAACTGACCAGGTGTAACAGAATTAGACCAAAAAAATGTATTCAATATTTTGGATTTTGTCAGCTGGTCTTGGTGGCTCATGCCTGTAATCCCGGAACTTTCGGAGGCCAAGATGGAAGGATTGTTTGAGCCCAGGAGTTTGAAATCAGCCTTGGCAACATGGTGAAATCTTATCTCCACAAAAAATAAAAAGTAGCCGGGTGTGGTGACATGCACCTGTGGTCCCAGCTAATCAGAAGGCTGAGGTGGGAGGATGGCTTGAGCCTAGGAGGTCAAGGCTACAGTGAGCCATAGTGTTGCCTTTGCACTCCAGCTTGGACAACAGACAGAGAGAGAGACCTTGTCTCAAAAAAATACTTTTGTTAATTTTTTTTAAATTTTGTGAATTAAAAATTGTGGAAATTTGGGGGAAAAAATCCTCTGAGATGCCATGAGTTTGGGGGAAATTCTAATATGCTTCCAGATATGATTTTTCCCCTTTGCAAAGTTGGTGTGAGGGGTTATATCCACCTCATCATCAGCTCCTCCCCACCTCCAAATTGGGGTAGAAGAGCCTGGGCAAGGCAAGGTGGCTCACACCTGTAGTCCCAGCCCTTTGGGATGCTGAGGCGGGTGGATCACTGGGCTTGAGGCCAGAAGTTCGAGACCAGCCTGGCCAACATGATGAAACCCTGTCTCTACTAAAAATACAAAAATTAGCTGGGCGTGGTGAAGCATGCTTGTGGTCCCAGCTACTGGGGAGGCTGAGGCAGGAGAATGGCTTGAACCCGGGAGACGGAAGTTGCAGTGAGCTGAGATCATGACACAGCACTCCAGCCTGGTCAACAGAGCAAGACTCTGTCTCAAAAAAAAAAAAAAAAATTGGGGTGGAAGGGACATCTTCCCCTCTGTGGGAAAGGAGGAGGAGGTCAGCAGGATGTTTTGAGTGGAAAAAGGGGAAGGGAGGAGGTGAGCCAGGCCAGCAGGGTGGAGGTTACAGGTGAGGAGCGGGGGTCCCAGGTACCTCACCTTTCGGTCCAAGTTGAGGGGTTTCCCCACAAGTGGCAGAGTGATGAGCTTCTTGGTACCCTGGCTCCAGGTCCCTAAGAAGAAGTCGGCCAGGACTCCGTGCCTCTCGGTTCTCTCAGACCCCGACAGGTAGCGCTCACGGACAACCTGGACCAGCTGTCTACAGAGAGGGTACACCGGCTGATGGACCTGGAGACCCATCGAGCTCAAAGGTGGCTGCCTGACTTCCTGGAGGCAGTTCCCAAATGCCAAGCCATCTTAAACCAACCTGTGGACCACCTGTGCTATTTGATATATAACATCTATCTCTAAATTGGTCCATGTTTTCTTTTTCCTTACATAAATTTACCTTCAAAGAGGAACCTTTGGGCTCCTCCAAAATTTTAACATAAAATAACTTACCACATGACCCAGCAGATCCACTCCTGGGTATATACCCAGAAGAATCAAATAAACAGGTGTTCAGGCTGGGCGCAGTGGCTCATACCTGTAATCCCAGTACTTTGGGAAGCTGAGACAGGCAGAGCACCTGAGATCAGGAGTTCAAGACCAGCCTGGCCAACATGGTGAAACCCTGTCTCTACTAAAAAAACAAAAACAAAAATTAGCTGGGCATGGTGGTGGGCACCTGTAATCCCAGCTACTCAGGAGGTTGAAGCAAGAGAATCACTCCTCCCAGGTGGAGGTTGCAGTAAGCCCAGATTGTGACACTGCACTCCAGCCTGGGTGACAGAGATAGACTCCAAAAAAAAAAGGAGAAAAGAAAAGGAGGAAGGAAGGAAGAGAGAGAGAGAGAGATGAAAGAAAGAAAGAAAGAAAGAGAGAGAGAGAGAGAAAGAAGAAAGAAAGAAAAAGAGAGAGAGAAAGGGAGGGAGGAGGAGGGAGGGAGGGAGGGAGAGGGAGAGAGAGAGAGAGAAGGAAGGAAGGAAGGAAAGAAAGAGAAAAAGAAAGAAAGAAAGACAGAGAAAGAAAGAAAGAGAGAAAGAAAAGGAGGGAGGAAGGGCGGGAGGGAGGGAGAAAAGAAAGAAAGAGAGAGAAAGCAAGCAGGCAAGAAAGAAAGAGGGGGAGGGGGGAGGGAGGAAGAAAGGAAGGAAGAAAAAGAAGGAAGGTGTTCAAACAAAAAACTTACACATGCATGTTCACAACAGCAAAAACATGGAAGCAATGCAAGAGTCCATCCATACAATGAAATGTTATGTGGCCACGAAAAGGAACGAAGCACTGATCCCTGCTACGATGTGGATGAACTTCGAAAACATGACGCTGAGTGAAAGAAGCCAGACACGAAAGGCCACACGGTGTGTAATTCCATTGATCTGAAATGTCCAGAACAGCCAAATCCATAGAGACAGGGAGCAGATTAGTGGCTGCCAGGGGCTGGGGGAGGGGAGTGCGGAGTAACTGCTGATGGGGACAGGCTCTCCTTTTGGGGGGATGGAAATGTTCTAGAACTAGGCAGAGGTGAGGGTGCAACATTGTGAGTGTACTAAAATACCACTTAATTGTCCACTTTAAAATGATGAATTCTGGCTAGGTGCAGTGGCTCACACCTGTAACCCCAGCACTTTTGGAGGCTGAGGCAGGCAGATCACCTGAGGTCAGGAGTTCAAGACCAGTCTGGCCAATATGGTGAAACCCCGTCTCTACTAAAAATACAAAAATTAGCCAGGCTCAGTGGTTCATGCCTGTAATCCCAGCTACTCAGGAGCCTGAGGCAGGAGAATCACTTGAACCCAGGAGACAGAGGGTGCAGTGAGCTGAGATTACACCACTGCACTCCAGCCTGAGTGACAGAGCAAGATTCCATCTCAAAAAAATAATAAAATAAAATGTGGTGAATTGGCCAGGCATGGTGGCTCATACCTGTAATCCCAGCACGTTGGGAGACCAAGGTGGGTATGTCTCTTGAGCCCAGGATTTCGAGATCCCGCCTGGGCAATGTGGTGAGACCCCCATCTCTAAAAAATTTTTTTAAATTAGCCAGGCATGGTGGTGCATGCCTGTAGTCCCAGCTACTCTGGAGGCTGAGGTGGGAGGGTCACTTGAGCCCAGGAGTTTGAGGCTGCAGTGAGCCGAGATGACACCACTGTACTCCAGCCTGGGTGAGACCCTGTCTCAAAAAAAAAGAAAATCAAAATAAAATAAAATAATGTGATGAATTTTACATTATGTGAACTTCACCTATTTTTGCTTTGTTTAGTTTGAAACAAGATCTCACTCTGTGACCTAGGCTGGAGTGCAGTGATGCAATCATGGTTCACTGTAGCCTCACACTCCTGGGGCTCAAGTGATCCTCCCACCTCAGCCTCCCAAGTAGCTGGGACCACAAGTGTGTACCATCACACCTACCTAATTTTCTTACATTTTTTGTAGAGATGGGGGCCCCACTATATTGCCCAGGCTGGCCTCCAACTCCTGGCCTCCAGCAATCCTCCCGCCCTGGACCCCCAAAGTGCTGGGATTATAGGCGTGAGCCACTGCGTCCAGCCTCAACTCAATTTTAAAAATGAGTGAATTGTGCCAGTGTTCGAATTGGACTTGATTCCCTGGGAATGTGGAGTGAAGGATCTGGTTCTGAGAAGACCCCCCACCAGCGAGTTCTCATTCTCGAGGTCCTACCCAGACAGTGTTGCTGCCACTTCTGCCTGGACCTACCTGTGGGCAATGGCCAGGAGGGTGGAGCCATCCACGGGCCGCCGAGCCAAGCAGTATCCCAGATCCCGACGAAGCCGCACCCACAGCAGGGGTGGGAATCGCAGCAGTTCCTTGCTGGGCGGGGTCCAGTCCCGGTACACAGCCTGCAGGACCTCGTCGTCCAAGGACAGGACATCCTTCAGCTCTGCCTCCGAGAGACCGTGCCTGGGAGGAGGGGTGGGGCTTTGAGGCACATCTCCGATCTTCTGCGTTTGGAGGTTGCAGAAACCAAGAGAGGGAGGGTTACGGCCACCTGCGCGGCATGCAGAGCATCACCTGGGATCAGCATTTGGACAGCGCCCACAAGGGCCCAGGCCGGGTCAGGGCAGTACCCACCAAGGAAGACCTTTTCCGATCTTTTCCTCCACACGCACACCTACAGAACCACAAAACGCCTGCTCCTCAACCTCAAAGCAGTCTGAGACAGACAGCGTAGCGAGGGAAGGACGAGGTAACTCAAGGAAAATGATGCAGAAGCCAACTGCACCCACCCCACCCTACCCCGGCCCACCAAGGTGTGTCTTTAATTAGGATAAGTGGGCTGGGCTTGGTGGCTCATGCCTGTAATCCCTGCACTTTGGGAGGCTGAGGCAGGAGGGTCGCTTGAGGCCAGAGTTCAAGACCAGCCTAGACAACACAGGGAGACCCCATCTCCACAAAAAATTTAAAAATTAGCTGGGCCATGGGAGCACACGCCTGTAGTCCCTGCTACTCGGGAGGCTGAGGTGGGAGGATCGCTTGAGCCCAGGAGGTTGAGGCTGCAGTAAGCTGTGATTGCACCACTGCACTCCAGCCTGGGCAAAAGAGTGAGACCCTGTCTCTAAAATAAATACATAAATAAATTAACAAATGAATAAAAATAAGGTTAAACTAGTTAAAAATTAATACAATTTAAGATTCAGGTTCTGGGTTGCATGAACCGCCTTGCAAGTGTTCCATGGTTTTCATGGCTTGTAGTTACGATGGGATACCCAACACTGTACTCTTTGAAAACATTCTTTTCATTTTGTTGTTGTTGTGGTTGTTATACCATCTTGGCTCACTGCAACCTCTGCCTCCTGGGTTCAGGTGATTCTCCTGCCTCAGCCTCCCGAGTAGCTGGAACTACAGGTGTGCACCACACGCCTGACTAATTTTTGCATTTTTTGTAGAGATGGGGTCTCCCTGTGTTGGCCAGGCTGCTGTCCAACTCCTGACCTCAGGTGATCTGCCCGCCTCAGCCTCTCAAAGTGTTAGGATTACAGGTGTGAGCCACTACACTTGGCCTGCAAATGGCTCTATAATATGGTATCAGAGAGAGTCCAGAAGATGTGCCCGTGGTCATGGGAGAACCACTGGGTTGAGAGGCCATCCTCATCCCTGAAGACGCCTTTTAAGCAATGCGAACCCCAGGGCAGGCACCTCACTTGGCACCCCCACGGGACCCGCCTAGCCTGAATTGCAAAACAGGGCTGTACATGGTCACCCAGGCTTGCATTTGATCCTGGATGAGAGACCTTGGCAAGTAATGTACCTCCTCTTTGCCTCAATTTCCTCATCTGCCAAAAGCAAAACTGTTGAGGGCTAAGAAGATAATGCACTAGTTTCCCTTATTCTGGGCTCTTATTCCAGCGAGCATGACCTCATTGAGGCTTCCAGCAGCCTTGGGGGATGGATGCTTCTCCCAATCAGCCCCTCTGTGCAGGGAAGGAAGTGAGGCTCCCAGAGGGCACAGGGCATGCCTGAGTACAGAGTTTATTGGGCTTGCACTGTTGATGTTTGGGGTCAGATCATTTTTTTAGGGTAGGGACAGTCCTACAACACTGCTGTGTTGTAGAACAGCAGTCTCCAATCTTTCTGGAACCAGGATCGGTTGCTTGGAAGACAATTTTTTTTCCATGGACTGTGGTGGGGATGATGGTTTTGGGATGATCAAGTGCATTACATTTATTGTATATTTTTTATTACATTGTAATATATAATGAAATAATTATACAGCTCCCAATCATGTAGAATTAGTGGGAGCCTTGGGCTTGTTTTCCTGCAACTAGATGGTCCCATCTGGAGGTGATGGGAGAGAGTGACAAGTCGTCAGGCTCAGATTCTCATAAGTCCTAAGCAACCCAGATTACTCATATGCACAGTTCCCAATAGGATTTGAGCTCCTATGAGAATCGAATGACGCTGCTGACCTGACAGGCGGTGGAGCTCAGGCGGTAAAGGGAGCAATGAGGAGCGGCTACAGATAGATGAAGATGCACCTGCTTGCCCCCTGCTCACCTCCTGCTGTGCAGCCTGGTTCCTAATAGGCCATGGACTGGTACTGGTACTGGGGGTTGGGTTGGGGACCCCTATTGTAGGATGTGTAGCACCCTCCACCCAAGCCCCCACACACTAGATGCTGGCAGCATGATAGATAGACAGACAGATGTGCAGATAGGCATGTAGATTATAGATAGACAGAATGGAAGGATAGATGGAATTTAGAGAGAATGGATGAAAGATCAATATGATCAATATGATGGATAGATGGATGAAAGATAGAGATGATGGATGCATGGTTGGATGGAAGGTTCAAAGGATGGATGGATACAAGATAGATTATAGAGAGATAGATATAAATATGAGATAGAACAATAGACATGGAGATAAACAAAGATAAATAGATTATAAATAAATAGATACAGATGGGCAGTTAGGTATATAGTTGACCCCTGAATAACACAGGTTTGAACTGCACAAATCCACTTATATGTGAATTTTCTTTCACCTGGGCTGTCTCTGAGACAGCAAGACCAAGGCCCCCACTCCTTCTCCTCCTCTTCCTCCTCCTCCTCTGCCTACTCAACATGAAGGTGAGAAGGATGAAGGCCTTTGTGATGATCCACTTCCACTTCATGAATAGTAAATGTGTTTTTCTTCCTTATTTTTTCTTTTTTTGAGACAGAGTCTCACTCTGTTGCCCAGGTTCGAGTGCAATGGCATGATCTCAGCTCACTGCAACCTCTGCCTCTTGGGTTCAAGCAATTCTTATATTCAGCCTCCCAAATAGCTGGAATTACAAGCATGGGCCACTGTTCCCCAGTCCCCCTTATGATTTTCCTACTATCATTTTCTTTTCTTTATCTTGCTTTATGTAGGAATACAGTCTGTAATACACAAAACATGAAATACACGTTCGTCAACCATTTATGTTACTGGTAAGGCTTCTGGTCAACAGCAGGCTATTAGCAGTTAAGTTTTGGGGGAGTCAAAAGTTATGCATCAATTTTGAGCTATGTTGGGAGATATTTGGTTCCCCTAACCTCCAGGTTGTTCAAGAGCCAACAGAGACAGATTACAGGTCAGGCATGGTGGCTCATGTCTATAATCTCAGCACTTTTGGAGGCCCTGGGAGGATTGCTTGAGCCCAGGAGTTTGCGACCAGCCTGGGCAGCATAGTGAAACCCTGTCTCTACTAAATAAATAATTAAATAAATAAATAAGGCTGGGTGCGATGGCTTATTTCCGTTATCCTAGCACTTTGAGAGGCCAAGGTGGGTAGATTACTTGAGGCCAGGAGTTTGAGACCAGGCTGGCCAACATGGCAAAACTCTGTCTCTACTAAAAATAAAAAATTAGCCAGGCATATGGTGCACGCCTATAATCCCACCTACTTGGGAGGCTCCGACATGAGAACCACTTGAACCCAGGAGGCTGCAGCCTAGGCAACAGAGCGAGACTCATCTCAAAGAAAAAAAAAAGAAGAGTAAATAGATAACTAGGCGTGGTGGTATGCACCTGTGGTCTCAGCTATTCAGAGGGGGCTGAGATAAGAGGATCACTTGAGCCCAAGAAGCCAAGACTGTGGTGAGCTGTGATCGAGTCACTGAACTCCAGCCTGGGTAACAGAGAGTGAGACTCTGTCTCAAGAAAAATAAATAAATAAGAGAGAGAGAGAGTGCTTGAGAGATAGTAAAGATAGACGGGATCAATATAGATGAGCAATAGAGAGATAGATACAGAGATTGATTGATTATAAATGAATAGATGGATAGAGAGAGAGAGATGATAGATAATTTAAATAGGTGGATAGATTAAAATGGTGTATTTGTAGCTATGGGATAAATATAGAGTTAGATAGGTCGAGATAGATGTTAGAGAGATACAATGATAGATTACTAGAGGTAACAGCTAGACAGAGATAGAGATGATACATATTTATTGATGGGACATAGAGAAATATATAGAGATAGACATGATATCGATAGATATGATGGATGGGTAGATGAATGGATGACTGAAGATAGAGATAATGAATGCAAGGAAGGTAGAGATGATGGGTGGATGGATGGATGAAAAATAGAGATGATGGATGGAAGGAAGATAGATAGATGGATGGATGATGGAAGATAGAGATGATGGGTAGATGGATGGATGATGGAAGATAGAGATGATGGGTAGATGGATGGATGGAAAACAGAGTTGATGGGTAGATGAATGGATGAATTGATGGATGGAAGATAGAGATGATGGGTGGAAGAAAGAATAGAGTGGATGGATAGATGGATGGATAAATGGATGATAGAGATAATGGATGGAAGGAAGATCGAGACAATGGGTGGATGGATGGATGGAAGATAAAGATGATGGGTAAATGGATGGATGGATAGATGGATGGAAGATAGAGATGATGGGTGGCTAGATGGATGGATGGATGGAAGATAGAGATGATGGATGGATGGATGGATGGATGGATGGAAGATAGAGATAACGGGTGGGTGGATGGATAGATGGAAGATAGAGATGATGGATAGATGGACGGATGATGGAAGATAGAGATGATGGGTGGGTGGATGGATGATGGAAGATAGAGATGATGGGTGGATGGATGGATGATGGAAGATAGAGATGATGGGTGGGTGGATGGATGATGGAAGATAGAGATGATGGGTGGATGGATGGATGGATAGATGGATGATGGAAGATAGAGATGATGGGTGGATGGATGGATGATGGAAGATAGAGATGATGGGTGGATGGACGGACGGATAGATGGATGGATGGAAGATAGAGATGATGGGTGGGTGGATGGATGGATGGATAAAAGACACATGATGGGTAGATGAATGGATGGATGGAAGATAGAGATGAAGCGTGGATGGATGGGTGGGTGGATGGATAGATGGATGGAAGATAGAGATGAT